CAAAGGAGTCAGTGTGCTAAAATTTCTTCATTTTCCTTGTTTAGAATCAGAGGTGCTAGTTTCAAATACTTTTTAGTCTTAAATCTGTATGCTAGATATTGAATAAGGTGGTTTTATTGTTTTTTGTCACTTTGAATAATATTTCTGTTCATGTTAAAAACAAAATCAACTCTCTGTATAAATATATCAGGTGACCGTTAAGGCCCATGGGCCTCTTGTTGTAATACATGTTTATAGAATGCATTGCTAAAATCTTACTAGCGCTTCACATTTCTTTCAACTGATCAAGGACAATGCCATATCAAGATTTTTTTAGTTGTCATTTGAAAGAAATGGAAACAGTTTAGTTCTTAAAGGATTGTCTTTGTCTTGAACAGGTTGATGATTACCATGCAGCTATAGGAAAAGGCTGGGAATCACTCAAACAGGAAATGAATGGCTCTTGAACCTTCCTTGACTTTATCATACCTGTCTGTTCACTGAAGGGCATTGATTTCTGACCAGAATGTTACCTCCAATGTGAAATGGTACATTATGCCATGTTACTCGTCTACAGTGGCATTGTGAGCAGTCTTCATTTGTCATCTGTAGAATTGTGAACTTGGACTGTTTTTTATTTCTCATTTGTCATCATTGTGAACTCTAGTGTGAGGCAGTGGACCACATCTTCAAGTGAACTAGAGAACTGACATACAATAGGATCTTCAACAATTCAAGTGAACTGGAGAACTGACTTACAATAGGATCTTCAACAATTCAAGTGCAATATCATACAACAATAGTTTGTAAAAGACTTCTGAAGAATGAAGCGACAGACTATGCCAAACCCAGGAATACTTGATTTGGATTCTATAAGTGCAGTTATCAGTGACAAGTTTAGCTATCATATACACATTAATTAGAACTGTTACGACTGCTCTAACCCAGCTCATCTTACCGGGATAGTTTCATTTTTCCTAGAAATCTGTCTTCTATACATTATTATTTTCATTTCCCCTACGCTTTCTCTAATTATCCCCTGACACAACATATACTACTAGCAATAATGCTTTTCCTTGTTACTAAAATATAGGTCTCTGGACAAACACACTGATTACAAACCCTTGCTTATGACAGATAAAACCAATGCATTGAAACAGATTTACCCTCATCACACTAATTACAAGTCCTTGCTTATAACCAGTACAATATATTAGAATTACTACAAATAAACTTATTAAAAATCCTTGGTTATAACAAAGTCATCTTTTGTGTTCCCTTTTATTGAGGAATTATCTATGAACATCAAAACCTTATCAGGGTTTTAAATAGTTTACTACTGGTAATTTCTTAGATCTGCAGGGGTTCATGTAACATGTGCTTTACTGGAATACTGTACGTGTGTTAAGGTACATTATTTCTCTATTCTGCCTCAGACAAGTGCCTGAACCTCGCTACTGTTTATCTGGCTGTGTGGTCAAAAGAGTGTACTGTGTATCAGTATTTATATATATATACCACATACACACAGTGCTAAGGTCTGTGGACATATGCATCTTTTTGACAGAATGTTTGAAAAATACTTTAAATGAGAAAAATAATCTCATTCAATTTACTGTACAGTGTAATTCAAAAGTACATTTATTTCTTTGTTAGCATGCGTTATATTTCTTGTTATTGAGTTATTAAGACTACCGGTACATTTTACCGATATAGTGTAGAGTAAGTACTGATACCGGTAGTTGTCATAACTACATGTATATCAGTTTGGATTGAAGGACGTATTTAGTGCTAAGCATATGTACATCATTAAATTTGGCAGTTAATTATAAACATTGAAATTTCTTTTCCTCTCCAGTCCTCTCTTCTTTTTTCATGGATTTATATAATTTATATGAAAACTTACTGTACACCTTCAGGCAATTCTAAGAAAAGATGTAAGTGTATTAAGTATCTTAAAACTGGAACATGTAAATAAATGATTTTAAAAAATCTGCTTTTTTGTTTCAATACTGCTATATCACAGGGTATAGTCAGACCACAGTGACCTCTAGTGTTGACCTCCAATTACTGATTAACAGCACAGATGACTTTGTACGAGTCAGTGGTAGATCAATGACTGAAATATGATGTGACATCTTGGGACACGCATAATGTTATTGATATACCATAACAATTTTCATATAAAAAAATTAATGCAATAGTCTGATGGAGTGGAAGTAATATACAATCTCATCAGTAGAACTTGCACACAAGTTCAAATAAAACAGAAAGAATAACGTTTGTAATGATTTAATGAGATAAACATGATATTTGGAATAAACAAATTGATAATGCGTTTTGCTGTTACATGAACATTTCATTTCAATTTTAGAAATAAAAGCTACTGAACTTGTTTCGACACATATGTATACCAGTGCCTTCCAAGTAATTCACTAACATACAAGTTACATAACATTGGATAAGGACATTTTATATCTAACTTTGGTCTGTGATTCACTATAGTAAATAAACAATGGTGCATGTTATAGACTATTTCCTTAGAGGATTCAGCATGGGGTTATATACATAGAGTCTTTTTGTTTGTAGAAAATGTAGCTATAGCTATAGTCTGACTTTTCTATCCATGCAAACATGTGACGATCTGAATGTTTACTTTACCTGCAATTTATACACAATATGTAATTCTAATACATCAACATGACTAATACACATGTTAACTTTAGTTGTGAATTAAAAAAAAAGAAACAGGTCAGTTCATTTATGCATTTGTTTATTGTAATAATATGTTAATATTAAAATATAACATATAACAGGATTTGGTTATTGTCATGGACACTAGGACTTTATCTTTTGCCAGCACCAAGACATCATATACACCTATAAAGGATCCAAAACAAGTTCAAATCACATACAATATCACATACAATTTGATGAAACAAATTTTAACTAGCTTCAAATCAAATGGAATGGGGAAGAGTTTGAGAATCTGTTTATTATATGTCAAACCAAGGTATGTAATGTTAAAATTACAGAGTTGTGAATATATAAAAGGAGTACTTGGAAAGATATTGATTATCATGGTTCTATTGTTACATTAGGGTAGAGCATACTAGTATGTCTACATCACAGACTTCCTAATACACACACATCATGCATCTGTACTGTTACATAGTAGGACATGATATCACATACAGCTCTGTTTTATGTAGGAGTAAGAGGTATACACGTACATGATATCACATACAGGTCTGTTTTATGTAGGAGTAAGAGGTATACAC